TCTTATCCCCTGGAACTGGAGTTACAGATGGTTGGTGTGAGCAGGTGTGTGTGTGTGTGTGTGTGTGTGTGTGTGTGTGTGTGTGTGTGTGTGCCTGGATCCCCTGGAAGAACAGCCAGTTCTTGTAACCACTGAACCATCTCTCCAGCCTCCCAAGCTGTCTCCTTTTGATCCGTTCATGATCACCACAACCAAAATAATCTCCCGGAAATATGAGCCCTGTTTAAAACACTTCTGTGAATCAGACTTGGTGGCTGTGGTGGCTTGAGTGAGGTGTCCCCTATAAGTCTTAGGTATTTGAGTACTTGCTTCCCAATTGAGGACTGTTTGGAGAAGATATAGGAGGTGCCATTCCTATATTGTTTTGTGTCCAGCTGGCAACTCAAGATCTAAGTCCCTAGACACTGCTCTGGACTCCTGCCCCTGGCTACTGCCCCATCTCCATGGACTCTACCCTCTGGAATGACAAGTCTGAAATATACTCTTTCTTCTACAAGTTGCTTTGATCCCACTGTGTTATTTCAGCAATAGGAAAGTAACTAATACATAGGCCTGCACCTATAATCCAAGCACTTAGGAGCTGAGGCAGAAAGATTGATTTGAGCTCGACCTAGCCCGGGTTACACACCAGGACCCTATCTCAAAAACAAGCAGTTCTTGTCGGGTGATGGTACACACCTTTAATTTCTGTACTTGGGAGGCAGAGGCAAGCAGATCTCTGAGTTCCGGGTCAGCCTGGTTGGTCCACATAGTGAGTTCCAGGCCAGCCAGGGATATTCAGGTAGATCCTGGTCTACCTGCCCCCCATAATTAAGCAATCTCTCACTGCTCCTAAGTCTGAGCTTTTCTTAGACGCATGTTAACCCCCAGGTTCATATCTGACCCCTCCACACCTCACACTCCGTGCTTCAACTTTCCAACACTGCTTCTAGTCTCTCAGGAATATGGCCCACCCACCTGTCTCTCAAGCCGCCTTCTCTCCCACTGACCAACTCTTGTTCCCACACGATAAAACTTGACCCTAATCCACTCATTCCACTGGGAGCCATATAGGGTGCCTCCCCAAGAGCACCTACAAATGCCTGGCATTTAGCAGATTGTACCATATTTTGATATGTTCATCTCCTCACCCAGATGCACTTAGAGTCCTTGTGTGCTTGTTGGAATGTGTGATCCACTGTGCTTAACAGCTTGCACACATTCCCTGGTCTGGTCACCTTACCACTTCCTGCAACATGGTTAACATTGTTATTTTCATCTCTTCAGTGTGGACTTTTGTGTTTTTTTTCCCCCTTGTCTAAGGGTTTTTCTAGAAAGAGATAGTCTGACTTCTCCAAGTCCCCACAAGCACACAACAAAGTTAGAGCCTTGGTGGCTGTAGTTGGAATTCTGAGTGCAGAATGAAGTCTGTGCTTCCAGGAGTATACACAGCTTGCCACAGCCACTGTCTCCTTTGCCTTGTCACAGAACCCCAGTTTTATTTGGGTTGGCAACATGCCCAATTAATTTTTCCAGCCTCTCCATATGTGCCAGGTGACTCAGTTCTGCGGCATCTCCAGGCGGCTTCAAATGGCTTATAGACTAAATGACTCAAGCATCAGAAGCCACCTTGGACCAGGGGTAATTAATTAATTTGTTGGGCTTTCCTTTTTTAATTTCCTTTTTTTCCTCTTCTCCCTTTTTCCTCCCTCCCCTTCTGTCTTTCTCTTCCTTCCTTCCTTCCTTCCTTCCTTTCTCTCTCTCTCTCTTTCTTTCTTCTCTCCCTCCATCTCTCCCTCCCTCCCTCCCTTTCTTTGGTCATGCTCTCACTATGTAGCCCTGGTTGGTCTGGAACTCGCTATGTAGACCAGGCTAGTGCCAAACCCAAAGATATTCTCCTGCCTCTGCCTCCTGAGTGCTGGGATTAAAGGCTTGTGCCACCATGTCTGGCTTTTAATTTTTTTATTTTAATTTTATGCTCAAGGGTGTTTTGTCTCCATGTATCACATGCATGCAGTGCCCATGGAGACCAGAAGAGGGCATCAGTCCTCCTGGAACAAGAGTTGCAAATGCACGTGGATGCTGGGAATTGAACCTGGGTCCTCTACAAGAGAAGCCTGTGCTTGTCGCTGCTGAGCCTCCCTTCACCCCCAACCCGACCACCAGGAGGGATTCTTAAGGAAGGAAGTGAGGACTGAAAGTGACAGTGCAGACTGACACCATGGGCCATATTCTGGAAATACCCAGACTTTTTTTCTTTCTTGAGGCTAGATCTCTCCATGTAGCCTGGTGTGGTTGTGATTTTACAATCCTCCTGCCTCAGTCTTCCAAGTGCTGAGGTTATAGGCATGCACCATCAGGCCCACTTTTTTTTTTCCTTCGTTTGGTAACAGAAACTGCCATTGAGTCACAGTGAGCATTAGGGCTCCACGAATGTGCAGCCACTGATAAAAAGGGTTGGGTTATATCCCACCCGTGAGGCCCCGGGTCATGATTCAGGAGCAGCAGCCAGCGTGGGTGATATAAACTGTGTCTTTATTTGAACATCATTCCACCTGCACTGAAGCTCAAATCCAGCAGCAGCAGAAGGGGTCAGGACCAAAAGAAATGGTACCAAATTGGACAATGAACATCAAGGACACATTCAGACAGAACTTACTAATGGGGTATAGACGACACCAAGCTATCCTACCACACGGCACAGGTCCTTGGAGGGCTGTCAGAGTCCTGGGGAGGGCTGGCTGTTCCTGCTCATTTTTCAGGAAAACTCCAGTCCCACCCAAAAGCTAGCTCTGAGCCAGACAAGAACCCACAGAAGCTTCTTGTGCTAGAAGGAGCCCAGCACCTCCAAAAAGAGGGTTTCCCCTTTTCACACCAGAGGCTGGAGAAGGGCTAGTCCCCTCTGTGCTCAAGTGGGACTCTTTCAAAGTCCTGGGCTCCTTCCCCCAGAGCTCCAGCCGTCATCTTGGCTCTAGCAGGTCCCAGAACGGTGTCAATCTTCCCCAACATCCTCACACCCTTGGGAAGGCTTTCTTCCATAGCTGTAGGCCTGAGGGGAGAACTCTACTTGCCACAGCCCCAAGGACTGGTCTAACCAATGCTTTGGGCCAGAGACTGGACCACCTCAAGGTTATGGCTGCTTTCTCCACTCTCTGCCAGGAGCAAGAAAGTCAGTAATACGAAACACCAGCACCCCCTTCCAGTCACAACTGGCTGAGGACTCTCAGGGACCTAAAGCCAGGAAGCTCTTGGATGGTGATCAGAAACAGAGACGTTGATCTTCATAGCCTATCCCTTCCCCAAGGCTAACACCTGCTCACTTGCCCTAACTGTACCACTTCAACTGCCAGCAGATCCGGCAGAGCCCCACCCGCATTCTTGGATGAAGCATCCATCCTCCCTGTCCCTACCTCTTCTAAATCTTCAGGACCACTGTTTGGTCTCCCCTACCACCTCATCTTCTTTCCCCAAGCTACCCTGGGGCTCCTGTAGACTTCAGCCCACAAACCTGAAACTCCACAATGTACCTCAAAATGTTGGGCAGTAGCTGGTTGGCTAGAGGGTGGATGGGAACATGGTTAGACTACTCCCAAAAAGGAATTAGTTTCCTTCCTCCCCATCGTCTGTATTACCCTGCTGCTAACACAGCCTGGCCTGCTCATACATACACACATGCAAACACACACACACACACACACACACACACACACAACACACACACTCCCCTCCACAAAGGAACAGAGCTAGGTGGACCTCCAGTCACTTGGCCTCCAAGGAGTCAGTTCTAGCCTGTCCACCAAAGCACAGGGGTCCCCTTGGGTGGCAGGTGTCCTTAGGGGAACAGACTCTTAGAGCTTACACATGGCTGCCCTCCCCCGCAGTCCAGCCCAGCATTTCTTCTTCCCTGTCCTCCTGCCTGCTCTCTTCTCTACATGACGTTCTTGCTCACTGCAAATTACACCTCCATTTCCCAGGTCCCGTCCCTCTTCATCAACTGTCCCCTACGCCATGGAAGCCCCACTCCAATTCTCCGCTTCTCTTGCTCCATCAATCCATCACTTGAACTCTCTTCCTCTCTGCAATACTGTCCCTCCCTTGTCATGCCTGTCTCCCTTCTCATCTTTACTTCTGTGGCTCTGCTCCTGCTTCCCTGCCCCTGCTGTCCCCTCCCCTGCCAGGTTCCCAGTCAGTCACTCACTCCTGGCCCCTCTCCCATCTGGTTTGAATCTGAGGAACCGTCTCCTGCTCCCTTCTCCTTCACACAGGCCCCGGGCCCGTACATTCCCAGTCTCCTGGCCACCTGCTGAGGAAGCAGCTCCCGAAAGGGACTGGGTGGGGACAAGTGTGGGGGACAGAAGGGCAGTGACCAAAGCTTGGGAGGAGATTCTGTCTTGGAGGAAAGAGGGGAAAGGCGGAGATGGGGTTTGGAAAATTGCAGGAATCCTTCCTGGAACCAGCATCAGACTCCAGTTAGGGTCCTGATGGGGCACCCTTGGACATGGGTCTTGCTCAGGAATCCTAACTCTCAGCTCCAAGTCCTATGAAAATGAGCGCAAGGACAGCAAATCTGTGAACTAGTTGCCCTTCCAACTCTGCCTGAGGCTCACACGTGACACACAGAAGTGTTATACCTCCTGCGGAGCCTAAAGGGAGCACACACTCTGAAACATGGGGATCAGGCAACAGGCCATGTCCTAGCAGATATTATGCTAGATGGAGCTAGTCTGCCTCCACTGGGGACAGAAGGCTTGTCCGTGACTAGATGGCTCTGCCACCAGATCTATAAGGTAACCAAGGATGGTCAAAAAACACCTGGGATCTCCCTCATTTTCTCTCTGCTAAGGGGGAGGGAGTAACCCCTGGTGGGAGAGGAAGAGAGATCTTCTCATCTGTCCCTCCCTAACACACACACACACACATACACACACACACACACACACACACACACACACACACACCAAGCACTGCCCATGAGGTTGCAGACCCTGGGCGTATCGCAAGGCGAGAAGTGGGCAAGGAGGAGAAAGAGTCAGGGACAGGGTAACAGGGCCTGGGGTGGGGACAGGGATACCCTGTTCGGAGGTGACCTGCAATTTCAAGTTAGGCAGAAAAGTATCAAAGACGCAAGACAGTCTCTGCCCTTGGCAGATGTCCGAGGTGTGGGAAGCGTGAGAAGGAGATAGGCAACCCCTAACTCCGCCTCTGAGCCCCCTCTCCACAGCCACCAACCCTGACAATGGGCCTGAGAAGTCTATGCTGTACAAAACAGGCCGGAGTCAAGGATCCAGTCACCGGTGAGTTATCTCAGTAGAGAAGAGGCCAGGCCAGCCCCAGGCTGAGAAGCTGACAAACTCCAGCTGCTGTATTCAGCTGCCTCCTCCCACAGCCTCCAGAGCCTGTGTCTTCCCCTCAGACTCTGAGCTGATGAGGGACTACCAGCAGTGGGGAGGAAGACCCTGTCCTTTCCCTCTCAGCATGGATCAGGTTCCTTTGAGAGCTGGGTTCAGGCTTGAATGAGGGAGTCAGAAGAGGCCCCGTGGGTGGGGCTGGTGGCACCTGGAGCTTTGTGGCAGATGTGGTGGGACCATCATCAGCAAATAAAAATAAAGTAGGAAAAAGTCTGGCCCTCCTGGGGCAGTGTCTTGAATAAGTCTCTTTAGGAGACCAGGACTGGGGAGGCTAGGATGCAGCTGGCAGGCGTCCAGACTGAAGGGGTCTGAGGAGCCTGCACTGCGGAGCTTCCTTCCCCTGGGGATCCTCGGGGACCTCCAGCTAGTCTACACAGGAGAGAAGGAAACAAAAGGACCAGAGAGGGAGACCCAGGCTCCCTTAGGTCAAATGGAGGCAGGGCCAGAAACAGGCTCTCGAGGGATCTCAAGGGCCCCTGCCTTCTGCCAGGCTGCTGCCCCGCCCCCGCCTCTCTTCAAAGCCTGGAGTTGTGTGCAGTCAGTCAGAGATTGGGGTCTGGAGCTTGACCACAGGAAGGAGAGGGCAGCAGACAGAATATGCTGAGGTCGGGCCAACTCCTGGGCTACAATCCCGGCTTTCAAGGTCCCTGTGTATGAGCAACAGGGCACGGCAGGACTCCCCAACCAGAGACATCTCCTCCTGGCCGCAACACAGAACTTACTGTAGTGCCCACAAAATCTAAGGGAGAGAGGGAGGGAAGGAGAGAGGGAGAGAGAATGTTAGAGACTGTCAGGTCACAGCTGCCCCCTCAGCCACCCCCCAAGACAGCAGTGGCCAAGGAATGACTGCTACCAAGGTGTCGGCTGGCTGGTCAGCTTGGAGCACACCATTCAGCCTCCTACTCCACAGGGTCACCCTGAAGGTTCAAAAGAGATGTCATGCAAGCACTTAGCACACAGCAAATGGTGGTGGCTTAGTTTAGTTTTTACTTTGTCCCAGAACGGAACTATAAAGTCCACCTTTATCCACCAGTGAAGGATGGAGATTGTCTGGCATTGAAGGAAGCCTATCTCTTTCCATTATCACTTGTGGAGGGGGCTGTTTTAAAGACAGGGTCTCTTATAACTCAGGCTGCCTTTGAACTTACAAGGTAGCAGAGGCTAGCCTTGATCTCCTGATTCTCCTGCCTCTGGCTCCAGATTATGGAGATTACAGGTATGCACCACCATGATTGGCCTCCCATAGCATGTTAAAGATGCACTGTAGTGGCTTGCCACAGGTTTGTGGATGGCCTGGGCTCCACGGTGAGTTCTACGGTATTCTAGTCTACACTGTAAGGCCACGTCTTTAAGTGAACTTGTGAGAGAGCCATCTGGAGACAGGAGAGAGACACTGAGTGGGCCTTTCACTGCTAGTTACATCCATCCATGACCAGGGAGCTTCAGAGAGGCTACAAACAGGCTTCAGTGAGGACTGATGACTTGCACTTCTGGAAATTGCCACGAGGGGGCAGGTCCTGACCTCAAACCAAAACCGAAGAAACTACCCAGTTAGAGGGATCTGTGGGCTTTTAAAATCAGATTAGCAGAGTGTCCTAAGTAATGAAAATGGGACAGGAAAGCCCTAGCCTGGCTGGGCTGAGACAAGTAGTGTGACTGCGGGGAAGAGCTTTGGCTCTGGACTTGGACCTTCATTCAGGTCCTGACTGCATTCAAAGGACTTTGGGCAAGCTCTCCAGCTCTCTGCGCCCATTCACGGGGGACTTGTATTCTCAACTCTAAAACAGTGGTGGTAATGCCTGCCTGCAGAGGCCTGTGAGGACTGATGACTTTGAGCAAAGTGCCAGCTCTTGCTGGCCACTTTGCAGGCCCAAACTTTCAGCTCACATGACAGTCCTGGGAGTCTTTATCACCCTGCTTACGAAGTGTGGGAAACTGAAACTCGAGGTAGTTTCTAGGCTTAACCTGCTTCCACTATACTCTGTACTTACCACCCAAGACTTCAAGCACAACAATGGGGACCCTGCCAGACCTGTCGACACAGGGTTGCACAATTATCTCATTTAATCCCATTGTATGGTGAGCCAAAACCCCAAGAAAAGACGATAATGAATGGGAAAACCTCAACATAGGTCCCACTGTGGAAACTACTACTATGGATCTCAGTCTAAGGACGGTGTGCCCATCCACACACATTCACCATCACGTCTCTCTAGCAGTAGGGGTAGGCTGACACGAGGTCAGATGATCGTGCTTGGCTTCAGCTCTTTGATTATCTGGCACTGTCATTACATTTCATTTCTGGAAACCCCAAGAAGACGCTTGCACTTATGTGGGTGGCTCAGGATGGCCTTGAACTCAGAATCCTCCTATGCCAGCCTCAAGATAACAGGGATTATGCTGGTGAGTTCTGCTTGCATGTATGTCTGTGTAAGCATGCCAGATCCTCTGAAGTTACAGACATTTTTGAACTGCCATGTGAGTGCTGAGAATTGAACCCGGGTCCTTTGGAAGAACAGCCAACCACTGAGCCATCTTAACTGCTGAGCCATCTCATCTCTCCAGCCCATTTCTTTTTTCTTTTTTTTTTAGTTGTGAGCCTAGCCTTTAACAGCTGAGCCATCTCTCCAGCCCATATTTTTTCCTTTTTTTAATTAAATGAAATTTATTATTTACATTTGTGTGTGAAAGGGAGGGCGTGTGGAGGTCAGAGTATGGCTCTGGGCATCAAACTTAGGTTATGAGGTTTCGATAGCAATCCATCTCAATGGCCCTAAATTGTTCCTTTGTTGTGTTTTATTGTCATTGATATAGACAATATGTAATATACCAACTTATGCAGCATGGTGTAATACATTTGTGAACGGGCACCATTTCATATCAAAGCTGTAACTGTTGATAATTTGCATATACTACAAGCTCTGATCTCATGCCCAGATTCCTCCGCTTCAGACCCAATCCAATAACCACCCCTATATATGTATTTATCATTTTTAAAAAATGTTTTTATTAATTGTGTATTTATGTGTGTGCATGTGTTAGTGTAAGCCACATGTGTTCAGCAGATACCTGTGTCAGCCAGAAGGGGGGGCACTGGCTCCCCAGGGGGTGGAGTCACAAGCAGTTATAAGCTGCCCAACATGGCTGCTGGGAACCAAACTCAAGTCCTCTGGAAGAACTGCGAGTGCTTTTAACCACTGAGCTGTCTCTCCAGCCCCATTATTTCTGTTTTTAATCAATATATTCACTATACATTTGAATATATTGTTCTATATATTGTTTTTTGTTTGTTTTTGAGACAGGGTTTCTCTGTGTAGCTTTGGAGGCTGTCCTGGAACTAGCTCTTGTAGACCAGGCTGGTCTTGAACTCACAGAGATCCACCTGCCTCTGCCTCCCGAGTGCTGGGATTAAAGGTGTGCACCACCACCTCCCGGCCTGTTCTATATATTGTTAAACATATCATAAATACATATTGTATTATAGAAATATAAAATATATTATAATTATTGATGTTATTAAACAAATTTAATAATCTGGCATATAGTACTTAATATTTTATTTAATAATGCATTATTATTAAATAATAAATTTTAATATATTATAATTATGATTTAATTTATATTATATTTTATTATTTATTTATTATTTAAAATTTATATTTAAATATATATTAAACCTGGCGTGTTGGTACAGGCCTGTAACCTGAACACTTGAAGACTACAGTCAGGAAGAACAAGGTTATCGTTGGTTATATAGTTGAGTGGAAGGCCAGCTTGAACTATGTGAGATGCTGTTTCTGTCTAAACAACAACAACAAAATGTATTGGGAATGGTGACCCACACCAGCAATCCAAGGATTTAGGAGACGGAGGCAGGAGGAGTGCCGTTAGCTTCAAGCCAGCCTGGCATAGAGTAAGACCCTATCTCCATTTTTAAAAGTTTTGTTTAAGCCATACATTCCTTACTTTTTGCTTGGTTTAGGGTTTAATAAACACACTGCTCTGTCACTTCCGAACTTTTCTCTCTGCAAGTGTTCTCAATCACCTCTGTCCCCTGACTTCACGGCCATGGGGCACGGGCTGATGCCTACAACCCTTGAACTTCAGTCCCTGTTCTCTAATTGTTTTCATGGTGGCTGTACGTGCGTGCGTGCGTGCGTGCGTGCGTGCGTGCGTGCGTGTGTGTGTGTGTGTGAGGGTGCATGCGGGTGTGTGGGTAAGTGGGTGTGGTATGTGTAAACTGGAGGACAATTTTCCAGATTCTCCTTCCCCCACGGGAATCAAACTCGGGTCATTAAGCTTGGCAGCAAGTGCCTTTACCTGTTGAGCCATCTTAATGGCTCCTCTGTTTACCTTTTAAAATCATGTAAAAAAATTATTTAAGGTGTATTACTGTTTTTGCTTGAGTGCATGTATGTGCACCATGTGTGCAGTGCCAGAGGAGGCCAGAAGAGGGCGCTGGATCCCCTAGAACTGGAGTTAAAGCCGGTTCTGTGGCCTCATGTGAGTGAGTCCACTGGAAGAGCAGCCAGTGCTCTTAATGGCCAAGCCATGTCTCCAGATCCCTGGGTGTAAGTTTTGCTTCACTTTTAGAATTTTATCTACAGTTGGACTGCCCCCGCCACCAAGCAGGCCTTCCTTGCCTTCAGGGTCAGGTGCTTACCTTTGTTCTCCTGTTTGAGCTCCTCCTGCAGCAGGTCGGTCTGCCGGTTGCCCAGCACGAAGGCGAGGAAGGACAGGATGAGCGCATTGAGGATTCCAATGATGGCCAGAATGTACGCCCAGCGCACCGAACAGTCCCCCAGGGAGTACTTCCCCGTCTTGGCCCCGCACATGTCCCGGATGGTCTCGGCGTCCCAGCCATCAGGGAAGATCATACAGCCCAAGACGAGGCACAGGGCTGGGCATCGGGGGCGGGCCCACACCGAGGTCAGGTCAGGAAGAAAGAGAAGGCATTATTACTCCCTAGAATCGAGGAGGTGGGGTGAGGGCTGAGTCCAGAGAATTCCCCCAGCCCCATCTAGCAATCTGCACACTTGGTAACTACTTTTCAACCACTGGGAGACAGACATTGACCCGAAGAGAAAGAAACTGGGACCCTCAACCTCCCCTGCCTCACCTACCTTCAAGGAATAAGAAAATACCAAAGCCAGGCCATACCCCTTGACGTTCTTTGGTTCCTTTTATTCTCACCCAACTTCATCACTTTAGTGTTTGTGAGTTTGGCTTTGGTTTAGTTTTTCTTTTGTTATTCCTTCACCAGTGGTTCATAACAATCACTTTGCATTCGTTCAAAGATGCTAGGCATACAGCAAGGAGTGACAGTAAGTTTCCCATAGTTTCTCTTCCTCCATCTGTGACTGGCAGGTGTGAGGTACCCAGCTAGTTCCTTCCGTAGAATGGAAGCCACGGTACTTTAGGGACATTTAGCAAGGTGCCAACTAGGTCATTCATTGTTGAGGGCCTACTGTGTGCTGGGAACTAGAGCAGACCTCAGGAAGGCACTTGGATCTGTGTCTCTTGGAGCTTGCATGGGAGAGAAGAGGGTTGCAGTACAGTGTTAAGAACTCAAATGCTGGTTCAGCTCTCTACAAGATTTGTGAGCCTCAATTCCTTTATCTTTGTGCTTCAGCTTACAAATCTGTAAAATGGGGGTGATTAAGAGTTATCATTAAATGACTGTAAAGATGACTGGGTGCTTCAAAATGCTCTGCAGAGTAACTCCCATATAATGTTAGATGTTGATATCAAAATTAGTCATAACAAGCACTGGCTTCTCTTGCAGAGCATCCAGGTTTGGTTCCCAGCACCGATTGGGCAGTTTACAACTATCTAGTACATTAATTCCAGGAGATCTGACACCCTCTTCTGGCCTCTGTAGGAACTGCATACACGTGGTGCACATAACACACAGGCAGGCAAAGCACTCATATAAATAAAATAATTCAGGGTCATCACACAGTTATACAGTTACAAAGCCAGTTTGGCCAACATGATACCATCTGAAAAAACAAACAAACAAAACAAAAACCCTGGTCATAACAAAAAAATAATTACACAAATAAGGAAATGATGTAATAGGTTTCAAGTGAGTGAGACAGTTAAAGGCAGAAAGGGTGGGACAAGATAGCCCTGTTAAATAGCTACCTCATCCAATCTACCCACTTGGGTTAATCTACCAAACTCTCCCAATGCCAGCCTAGTCTGGGATGGGTGGGGCAAGTCTAAGCCAATCATCTCACTGCATTCCTTTGGTACCAGATTGACAATGAGAGTGGCACAGGCCCTATAACAGGCCAATCAGAGACTTCAGGTTCAGTTGGCAACTGGGAAGACTTGACTGCTCAGTCCCACCAGTGGTCTGCAGCTTGCACAGAGCTGTTTGAGCTGTGTGACCCATGACTCCTCCAGGCCCAAGAGCTTAACCTGGATATTAAATGTTGTGACAGCATTGACAAGGTTTGACTGTTCTCAGTTCTGTCGCTATATGTGGCCCATCCAGTCCCCACAGTGGGAGAGGGACAAGAGCTTTGACACTCCTTCCCCTATCTCCAGGACAAGGGAGTGCTCCCTAATCCCCAGGCTCCTCCCTCCCCAGAGTTCTGTAACTTGGATTCCATCCCATTCCCATCCTCCATGTCTGATGTAATGTCCCCAGAAACATGGTCATCAGTCTCTCATCCTGCTGGAGCTGCCTTCAGTCTCCAAGACAGTAACCCCGCCTCCCACCTTTATGGACATAAAAGAAATGTCCTACTCTGTGGCAGAACCAAACCAAGAGAGCTAGAGACCTAAACAGTCTGAAGATACAGATTGGTACACAGATAGAGAATCAAGTGCAGACCCGGGGTGGGGGTGTGGGGATCAATGGGAGCTGGAGGTTAACCATTAAGACTTCAGGTCCCCGTGGCATTTGAATTCTGCTGTTAGACATTGTCAAAACCAAAAAGTAGGCATGGGACTAAGCCCTTGGGTGCTCTATCGTTGGTATGGAGGGAGGAGGAGTAAGAGGAGGAAAAAGAGGAGAAAGAGGAAGGGGAGGAGACTTTAATGTCTGTCTTCCTACATGCCCTTCATTTGTCTCTCCATCCCTGGGCTCAGACACTCCAGTGAAAGGCAGGAATGGGGTTAGAAACCGGCAGCAGACAAACATACATACTATCCCGTCAGTTGCTTCCCAGCCCTCCTCTCCCTAGGTGCCAGAGTGGCTGGCCTCACTGTAGTCTGTTTTTGCTCGCTCCTGGTGCATCCTCATCTCCATGGAAACTGCTCCTGTATCTCAGAGCTCCAGCTTCCTCCCCCTTCCCTACGCGGGCACTGAGACCTCAGTGAGATTTTCTTCCCTGTGCTTTCCAGTTCTCTCTGTGTCTCTGTCTCTCCCCCTCCCTCCCTCCCTCCCTCCCTCCCTCC